GTCCTTGCTCGGGTATCCCATTCCAGTTCCTTAATTAAGAGCAAAATAGGACACCATGTATCCCTTTCTACGTACTCGGCCACAATGTGAACATGCCTCTATAAATATTACACGCCTTCTCCGCATACGTGCTTGAAGGCTGATGGGCATTCAGTCGGTCGGTATTCGGAATTTTTTCTCCGGAAAGAAATTAATATTCCTTCATCAATTTGTTAAACGATTAACACGCATTGACTGCCGTAAATTTGACGCTGGAATCATTAGAAAAGCGTGGAAATCTTCAATGATACGATGAACGTGATGATCGATCATTAGAGGAGGGGCGATTTAACCTATTTCTGTATTCTTGTGGAAAAATAAGCCTTTTTACAGTTGAGAACCTTTATTTGCTAGAAAACTTCTTGAAACCTTCGAATAATATTTTGTCTTACGCGGCTTCAAATCTAATGCACAAATCAAGCAAGTACAAGAATCTAGAAGTTTGTTGATGAGTGGAATTTGAAACGAAAGCGAATTGTTTTATTAGAAATTCCCTCCGGGGCTTCGGCTATTGTTTCTTATTTCCTTTATTTAAAAATACGTTTCTCTTATCTTTTCTGGTAGACCGAAACCTCTCGTTGAAAATTATGACGTCGCATGCACCTTTAAAACATGACTCATCTGAAACTGGCACATTATTTCGAAAATGACGTCACGAAATGAATACTGACGAAATTCAGTCCGAAAAGCTCATTTTGAAAGTTAACGGCGAGGCAATGCAATCATACGCTCCAGAATTAGGACGAGAAAATAATAATTTCGATAATTAGAAGTGATTGACTTCATTTGATGATTCCGCCGATATGGACTTGTTATTGCTTAAGGGGACGATGAAAAATAAGTAAAAAAATTCATCGATTGCATTACCACTCGAGCGAGCGTGACTTGGAAGAAATTTTGGCAAGAAAAGAGAAATTAACACGTCTTAAAAAATAAGAGGGCTTGAAAAACGTCACTCAATTCAAAATTAAATGAGGCTAAATATGATGTGAAATTTCGATAGACATGCTCCTCAAAGACTTCATGGACACGTAGAATTAATCGAGTGATGAAAAAAATAATAATCCGTGATCATTGATTTAAAATGAACACTATATGGCCATTTTACTTGAGAACTACTAATATTCACGGGGAAAAAATGTATGTGCTGGTAGGTAATAATGTCGTAATATGTCGTAAGTGATCATGATTAATTCTAGAGTAACGATTCGGAGCAATGGAGATGGAAAGTTTTGGGGCAAATATAAACCCCTGCTTCCATTGAAGGACAGCTAATGCCTTATCACAACCGTGAGGGGATTTTCTGCTCAAGAAAGTAATTACCATCGATTTGTCCATCCTTGGGTGCACTTTGTTAATCGGAAGAGGAATCCGAGACAAGTGTGTTCGGTTCTCGAGGAATAAAATTTCCTCGCACATGCTTCAAAGTTCGAAGAACTCGAGCACTTATATAGAGACGAGCGGAGATGAGCAGCAAATATTATGAGAACGTTCTGGATTGGAAGTCATCCTGGACGTTGAACTCGTTTTCTCTTTTTTTTTTAATTATATCAATTCTCACATTACCCAGCACACATGGATGAATCTTGCCAATGTTTTTCTTCATACTCGAATAAATTATTGGGCGGTCGTGATACAACAATGGGGAGCAATGAAACACGTGTGTTTCAACGGCGGATTTGTTTTCTTTAGCATGGGGGTCGCTGTTCTTCACCCTTAAAAGAGAGTGAAATCGATCAACCTACATCGGGACAACACCGAGTTTTCCTGTTTTCTATCTTTCTTTTTCCGTCATTGTACGACACGAATCACCCTTGGATCTGCATTCAATCGATTAGGTTTCTGCTGGTATTCTAGCCATCACTTGTGTTTGCACCAACAGGCTTTCACTTGTTTCTGTTCAAGTAGTCATATACAGTACAGTATTCTTCATGATATTCGAATGAGAAATACATTTTGAATGCAGCCCGGACACTGAAAATAACGCTGTTAAGTGATTCAATGGATCTTCAAAGAGGCGTATCTTACATTTGATGATTTTTTTTCAACTATTTGTTCGAGCGAGATGCAGTACGTCCAACTATAGAGGAAATTTGAAATTAATTTATCTGTAACATATCTACTTGAATTTGGAACTGGATATAATGCGTATCTGATTTTTCGGATTTTGAGTTTCACGCGAGCGTCATTAATGCAGTACCATGAGCGGGTCAAAATTAATAATGCTTCTATTAATGAAGACCTAATTTTGATTATTCAATAATTCGTCATACTTTGCCATTCGGGCTGAGGCAATCGATCATTTGTCTGGTCAATGCCAGTCTGAAGCAGATAATTGATGAAAATATTTTCATGCATAAAAGTTCTTCCATGAATAAAAAGCAAAGAATCCTCCTAATTCAATATGCCTGTACTCTATAATCAGCAACTTCAAATTTTTGAACCTCAGAAACTTCATCTAAAGAGCTGATGAGGGTAAGACTAAGTCCAAAGAGGCTGCGAAATATATATAATATCGATGGTTTTTTTTAACTAGCTTTATATACAATTCAGCTGAAAAATTAAAACCAAAATATAACTGAATTTGTCACAGCATCATTAATAATGGAGTGATTCAAGAATATTTGTTCTTTTATCTTACCAAAATATCGGTTTTTTATCTTACTAAAATTACAGGTTATTCTCACTCAAAACGTCAATAATTTTCTATGTTTTCAGTCGTGCATATATAAGACCCCGATGCGTGGTGTAAATTAGTCAATCATTCAATAATTACAGTATATTCCTGAAATCACGCGTTGAAAAGAGACCGTTCGTAAAGATCAGCAAAAGATTGCCAAACCCGAGAATATCGTACAATTTTTGATTATTTTTAATTAAAAAAAAAGTTCTTCATAGTTCAGACAATATTGCTTCCAGGAAATTATTTCACCAATTCGCTGCTCATCAAAGTTCTGATCACCGTTTTCTCGCAAAATTAATTATGTAATTTAATTATAATTTTTTAAAGCGATTTTCCAACACGATAATGGCGGTAATTGACACTCGTGAAAATGAGACGGACACAATCAACGCGGGGAAAAAAGGCTAGTTGAAAAAGAGCATCCATCGCAGTCAAGGATCTCTGGACAACTGGCTCCTCTATAGGTCCTAACGTTCCACCGAATTTTCCGCGGTCTGAGGAAAAGCAAGCATCACACTCGAGTCTATAGTGCTGTGAAGGACAGCACAGCTTCCTGAATATTCGTCACGAATTTTGCTGTGGTTTGAAATCATGTCAAGAACCATCGTGATGAGGTGAACAAACAACGTTTGCATATTTGTTATCTTTTGCAATATGTGGCGGAAAGGGCTTCCCAAAACTCGCAATGCGCCAATTCATGGCCTCGTCAGGGAGTAACTGCGATGCAAGAGATTCTCATTCAGTATTGTCAAAAAATATGTCTTGACATCGCTTTAAAACTCGTATATATCAATTAAAATTTCAGTATAGAGAATAAATGGTAAGTGTTGTTGGAAAATGTGACCGCATCATTAGAAAAAAAAGCAAATCTGATGACTATTTTTCTGTTCACAAGTATTTACAGATTGGCTTTACGTCAAGATAACTATAGGTTTGCTCCAATAAAAAAATTCATCAAAGTTTTCCCACAATCTTTGAAATCAGAAATTTTCGAGAAAAAATCGATTCATCATAGCAAAGAATGCAGTTTATTTGATTGATTTCAATAAAAAACGAGGAACTTATTGCAGTCCTGTAAAAATGCCTACCGATGCAGTATAACAATATTTTTTCAATTTTCGTCGAATGGGAACGTAATTCGGTTAGTTGCTCGAGCCAGAAAAGATGATGAACACGTAAAGTTGGACATTTCAAATGGGAAGGAGAAATACCGTTAAAATGCAAAATAAAGGCCGATGAGTACGCAATTTTGCTCAGCCGGTGGCGTTCGAGTGCAAAAAGTAAACACGAGCATTCACAAACACGTTTGTTTGATTATCGTGTTTAGAGGTCTGACCCAAAAATTATAGAAAAAATATGCCCGAGTTTTGTGGCAAAAGCACGCGGAACGAATTGAGACTCATCTTGGCATTGTTTCCAGTACATGTCAATCGACCACGGCGAGTTTAGGAAAAATGTTTTTGCAGCGATACAATTTAATATTTTCTCATGTAATATATAGTCAATTGCTTATTTTAGAAAAAATCAAATAATCTAAAACAGAGAACCTCAGAATTATAATTGTTGGAGAATTGATAGTGAACTATTCGTCAACATTCTATGACTCCATGCAATAAGAGAAGTATTTGTTGGCATTGATGAGCAAATCGGCTTCAAGAATTGATTATTCTGAGCAGTTCATTACTTTTGGGAACTGATGATTTTCTGCGGGCTGGGGCATTTGTCTTATCTTTTTGTAAAGTGGAATTTGATATCAATAAGGTTGCTTTCTTCCATGGGAGAATCACTTAGGAGTCCGAGAACTGACTAAACAGTGATTAATTTATTGAATATTCTAATTGTATGCCCTCACAAATTTGCTGTAAATGGTGCTAAAAATATGCACCGTAAAAAATTCAGAAAATCAACTTCTTTTTATGCCATTGGATACACTAGCGTTCAACAGAATATAACCCAAAATATTGGGTTTCTCAGAACCAGCGTTATTAGAATAATCTCTCATGCATGGAAAAAGCAATGTAGAAAATGTGATGGAATCTGCGAAAGGAAAGCTTCCGCGTTCAACTAAGATTGGCAAGCAGAGAGCCTTCCATTTTTTTTTGCGCAAAAACGATAAGTTCTTCTACAATTTTGCAAAATGGCAACTTACCCGTGACGGGAGACCTGCATGAATGATGAAATGCACGTGAACTCGTCAACTTCATGCACATCAAAAGTACCTCTGCCGGAATGCCATGCCGATTTGCATGCATGTCTCCTCTCAATCACTCTGGATTTTGCATGAAGCACGGAAGTTATGCTGAATTTTTCCGCAGCGAAGCACGGTAGGAAGTGGTAGGACTCCAGTTGCCCGCGGATAGCCACTAGAACGACGCATTCCTTGTGAATTCAATAAGGTGAGGGAAAATATCCCAGATTCAATTATGTTATTTTTTCTGAGAGATTAGGACTCAACGTACTAATTATTGAAAATTTAATATGAAGAATTCCGAAATAACAATCTTTTAGTGTCATATTGCTTATTTGCATAGTCCTAACCACCATGTCCAATTTGAATAGCTGAATCCCACAGCATTGAATCACAGAACTTAGCTTTTGATGAAATTTTGTGGATTATCGAAAGATTCGTGATTTTCTTTCATCAAGTTTCCTCTTTTTGTGGACCATTGAAAAATATATTGATTTCTCAATGCCGATTTCTCCTGCAAATTTTGTAAGTTGAAAATTAATGCCAAATATAAAACCATTCAATTATATTTCATGCGCTTTCAAAATGTCGACAGCAATAATATGACCAACATTTTAGAATGCTCACAGAATACCCAATAGAAATAAACTTGCAACCTGGTTCGTCAAATGGAGTGAAAGGAGTTCCCTGGAGAATTGTCCTAGTTTCGCACGTCTCTAAAAGAATCAGAAGGAAATTCTTGATGGGGATATTTTAAAAATCTTTCCTGAACTTTCTCAAAATATGCCCAAGTTTGAAGGAACAATTCCGAAATTGTGGCAGAATATAGCGTTCAATTTTAATCCAATTCGGGAAACCCTTTTTTGTTCTGCTTTTTAAAAAATAATTATTTGCTTCGAATAATTTTCATTGGACGAATCTATTGGTGGAATAAACTACAGTATTTCCGATGTCCCGGCCCAACTTACAAGAGTCGTGCAGAACTAAAACAGAGAGCTGCTCTAGTCCTCTGCCTCCAAATCATTTGTCTTCATCGTCCCTGTAATATTTAGAAAAAATTGTAAAAAAATCTTAGACAAACCTGAAATCATTTTAGTTGCACTGTCCCGAGGTTATTGTAGCCTGTCGGTCTGCTCCAGTTATTCTGCCGCATTCAAAAACGTGCGAAACTATAAGGAACCCCGTGTTGGGAAACCTCTCAATCATTTCAAGAAAACACTTATGCGTCATTAAGTACATAATAAACATTCAAAAAATTGTTTTTATCAAATTCGCTATAATCATAGAGTTTCTATAAGGCTAGTTCAGCTGATTTGTCTCTCGTGGAATTTCAAATCAGAAGAAAGCGAGGATGCCAGTGCTGCCAACACTCGCCTTCACTTTCGCTGCTTTCATGGCCCTTCTGAATCTGACCACGATTCATGCGGCCAGCGAAGAAGAGCACGAGACCAAGAAGGCCAACTGGAATTGCTGCTTAGCTTGTCAAGATGCCCCTCAAGCCATTCACCCAGAACCAACAGTTTATCCCCCGGAATGCTTCACCAAGTGCACATACACTGTAACCAAATACACCGCAGCCATTTCCAAGAAGTGCAAATGTGACCCTGACAAAGAAGCCGCTGCTGCGAAAGCGTCTCGGCTCGAAGACGATCCGCCGTCCCTCGATCCTTCAGAGGTTTTCTTTCCGTTGAATTCATCTGCCGAGACAATAATACGATAAAGCGTCGAAATTCGTCAATGTGAATCCGTTTCAGATCGAAAATCCCATGGGTTCTGCAGCAGCGTCTATGGAATCAGAGCAGCCACTGATGTCAGATGTAGCTGACGTTGATACCATGACCCCCTTGAACATCGCCGACGACAACGTGAATCCTCGAGAGCGACGCAGTAAGGACGCGACATCTAACAGGGAGGATGCACAACGTCACTTGGAAGCTTTGGTGTTTGCCACAGATCCCGCGCCTGTCAGCCTTCGTGAATCGTACATGGATGATGCTGGAAGGACCGAATATGGCCTCGTCGGCTCTTCAGAAGAAACTGGTGGCAAAATTTTCAAAGTACGGTCACGTCGACACGCAGGATTCTCAGTAGGTAAGATGCAAGTTTTTCAACAGGTACAATGCGTATTTTATACATTCAAAATTGTTTATGAATCCATTTAAAAATAAAGCATCCTTGCTGGTGAGTGATCACCGTATATCTCAAATGCACCGCCCACCTTATTTCTGCATCAACGCAGAAAAGCGGGGTGTGCATCATATGAGGATAAACATTTCTTGAAGAAAATACTGTATTACGAAATTAATGATGCAAGCTGATATAAATAATTACTTTTTGGTGCAAATAATGAACGGGGAGTTCTGTTTGGCTCACATCAAGTTAAAATGCTCCTATATCATATTTGTTATTAAATTATTTTTTAACAAAATTATTATTTGAACATTTTTGATTTTCAGCTATGTCAAATGGGCATGCATGTCTTATACGCCGAGAATTTGTTAGCGAATTTCAGAAACTAGGAAAATAGGCCTGGTCTGCGATATTTATCCCTTGCTTTTAAATGTTCAAATCCGATATCCAATAGCGAAGCAGGCCCAGTCACATAATCCTCCCGCAATATCTGCTGAACTGTTTGGTTATCAGTTTTGCATCATAAAAAAACGGAACGGAAAGTCCGACTCATTCTCTTTCGCATGGATTTAAAAAACATGCTCCTTTATTAATCTTTTTTTATTATAAAACCTTCGTCCATTTTGAAAATAAAAAGCCCGGAGGAAAGTTTTTTCCGCTCGAAGGTTGGATTGTGCTTTGTCTAAGGGTTGTCCCAGTTACACGCACCTTTTCGTGACTCACAAGCAGCGACGAGTAAGGCAAACCATTATCCCATTGAAATTCTAGCGTCGTCAGATTTTTCCAATTTCCAATTTAGGAAATAATAGACCGCTTCACGAATCAGCCCAATTTTTGTGTACAATACTTCAAAAAAATACACGCGAAATTGTCGAGCAGGTAAAAGTGGTGTGTTTCAATCCAAAAAATACTTCCAGTACCTTTTCATTAATCTTCGAAGGGTCGTCACAATTTTCTAACATGTAGTATACTGTGTTAACATAAATAAGGATATATTTTTTAAAGAAATAAAACATCAAATTGCGTAAAAACTTTGTTCGGGAATAGAGTAGTACAAAATAATTTCTCCAAAGTTCAAACATTTTCAATTTGAGTAATCAATGCAATTTCAAGCATGTTCTTAAGAGAAAAATTCAGTTCACAGAAAAAGGGAATCGTGCATTTTAAATGACATGCATCAGCTCTGCTTCAACCTGGGTGGCAAAAATTCATTTTCCCTATAGTGATTAATAAATTGATGAATAAAAAAATAATTAATTGCTGCTCCTTCCAATTCTTCCGGGGATGTTACGTTGCTGAGTCTTTAAACATTCCGTTGATCCATCTGAAATCTTAAATACTGTTCTTCATCGTGCAAACATTTTTCAGAGTTTGCAGCGGAACCGGAAGTCCCGCGCGAGGAAGTCGACTTCTCGCCTGCGCTGATGAACAGGATGCGTCGAGGCTCAAAGAAAATGCACGAAGATTGCCCAGATAACCCTTTCAAAATTTGCAAAGTCAAACCAACTAAAGCCGACGAATGCGACGAAGAGACCAAGGATCTCGTCCCTAACAAATGCGTGGGTCCGTGTGGGCGGTTGGGACCCGGATACCTCAGCGCTTACGGAGTCAACTCCAACACCGAGTTCCGCATCATCTACCGTGCTAAAAACCTCACCTACGAAGTAAGTAACTCACCGAAAGCACACATCATGTTTATCTACATGCGCATTTTTGGCGAGGAGAAAAATAATAAAAATCGAATAAAATTTGAAAATACAGTACATCGAATTGAAGGCTTCCTGCTGCGTTTCCTTGACGTTTCCTTGACGGGAAAACGCCGCTTAAACAAATTTGAGGAATTTTGGACGAGTGGAAATTTTCATTCAATTTGGAATCTGAGATTTCTTCAAAGCTTATACAGTGTGCTGGAATGATGGACTTGAGTGACAAACATTTCTCCTGAAATTAGTTAAAATATTCATGAGGAAAAAATCTGATTTCATCATCCATAAAGAGGATGCACGCGCAAATATTTTCGCACTCTTCCGTCAACACGAAGAACTATTTAAATCCTCAACTCCTTTTTTATTGAAAAAACAGAGAATGTAACCCCTTTTCCGGGGTTAAAATATTCATGACAGGAAATATCTTACAACGTTTCCAAAAGATCAAAGAAACTTGGATTCAAGTCACACAAGAAAAAAAACAGTTTGACAACCGTTCGCACAAACATGCATGGAGAAACTTTGGGTGGGAATTATACGTTACATTCGAGGATGGACTGCTTTGACTAAGTGCTGTTGCTGATTTCCTTGAATCTAGATCTAGATCTAGATACAGTAATGGGAGTAACTCACCGAAAGCACACATCATGTTTATCTACATGCGCATTTTTGGCGAGGAGAAAAATAATAAAAATCGAATAAAATTTGAAAATACAGTACATCGAATTGAAGGCTTCCTGCTGCGTTTCCTCGGGGAAAACGCCGCTTAAACAAATTTGAGGAATTTTGGACGAGTGGAAATTGTCATTCAATTTGGAATCTGAGATTTCTTCAAAGCTTATACAGTGTGCTGGAATGATGGACTTGAGTGACAAACATTTCTCCTGAAATTAGTTAAAATATTCATAAGGAAAAAATCTGATTTCATCCTCCATAAAGCGGATGCACGCGCAAATATTTTCGCACTTTTCCGTCAAGACAAAGAACTAATTCAATCCCCCTTTCCTTTTTTGTTCAAAAACAGAGAATGTTTTCCCCTTTTCCGGGGTTAAAATATTCATTACAGGAAATAGCTTAAAACGTTTCCAAAGGATCAAAGAAACTTGGATTCAAGTCAAACAAGAAAAAAAAAAACATTTTGACTTCGCACAAACATGCATGGAGAAACTTTGGGTGGGAATTATACGTTACATTCGAGGATGGACTGCTTTGACTAAGTGCTGTTGCTGATTTCCTTGAATCTAGATCTAGATCTAGATACAGTAATGGGAAAAGATCAGAGGATTTTACGGTATAGACAGATATCCGGCGAGGGAAATAGAAACCAGTGAAGAAGATATTCATCAAAAGTGGGATCGTACACGAATATTTCAGTATATTCCTTTGGTTTTTTTTCCAAGCCGACATTTACTTTAAATACAGCATTTTATTTTTTTTCACAACTCAGACTGAATGCTTTGGAAGTTTCTGAGCGCTTCAGCAGAGACCAGAATTTTCTCTTTCTGAGAATGATTTTTTTTCCTAGCTGACGCAGCATTTCCTATATATTGGCTGCTAAAAATTCTCGTGCGATATTTGATCAATTTCGACTTACGAAAATCGTGTCACACTAACACGTTCACGCACTGAATCTCCCTTGCTTCATCGCAGGTGATTTTTCCCTCTGAAATCGTGGACTGGGAGAACATAGATTTCGACAAGTACGAGAAGAAACGCGTCACTCAGATAGTCCGTGTTTTCCCGCCGTACCTCCGGTAGTCCTTCAGCTGCAGCAAGTGACCGACGTTAACGCTGCCACGCTCACGGTGACTCAAGGTCTTGCTGCTCGGTCGATTTGTTCTACCGGTGAATGGGTTGGTGCGGAAAGAAAACCGTCGATGAATATTTCCCTCGGCAATCGTTTACTTTATTCCGACGACACGCATTATTTGCTCGAATATATTAAACACGCCATTCTTCATGAGACCCACATTTTTTTTCGCGACTAAATAAATAATAATGATAACAGCTTGCAAATATAAGAAGCGTGGTTCTTGAGTTCAATATTTCTTTTTTTGCGACGTTGGATGAGGAGTCTCTTGTTTAAGCTTATCCTTCAATTAGCAGCCTAGTCTCAAACTCTCAAGCGATTGCAGCAGAAACCATTTGGATCCTAGCTCTTGTTCTTTATTGAATCTGAAGTATTATACAGTATTTTGTGTATTTGGTTAGAGATACTATACACGTATTTTTATCTGGGAGATTCCGTTTGTCGCAATGAATCACTCGCTTCAACTAGAATCGAAAGATTTTAAAGACGGAAAATTGAATACGGTATACAAAGAGTAATGCAAGTAATCCCTGACTAATCCCTGGACAATTTCAAGAGGGAAAAGTGCGTTCGATATTCGAGATAATATGGCATTCAAGGATTTGAAATCGGACGATTTTTTAAGCATTAAATATTCTTGAGAGATATGCCATTGATTAATGCGATGATAATGAAAAAACACTCGGATAACCTTTTCCGGAAAAGTCTATTTCTAGATAGAAAGAGGTCGGATACTGATATTGCAAGCTGAGTTTATCTTCATTACTCGGGAAATGGAAGATGCTTCGCTTATTTTGATGAGGTTTCATGGCGATATTTACATTAATCAAGTTAATTCGTCACATTATAAAACCATATCAACTATATGGTGCGTTTCATTAGGCTGGGATTATGGTCGAAGTCTCCGTATAACATTGGGGTTTCTTCCAAATAAAATACATTCTTAAAATCCGCTAGGTATGGTTGATGTACGAATCGCAAACAAATAATTTGTTTATTTCCTAGAGAATTTACATTTTTGAAATGAGAATCACACCGTGAAAGCAGTGATGTCGCCATGGAGGAGAGACTTTTGAATCGTTTGAATGCGGATTTTCCGAGACAATTTCGTGACATTCCTCTCGATTTTTCTTTTGTTCGAATAAATTTAATAGTTGACAAGACAAGTCATTCTATACATGTTCTTTACGAAAAATATAAGACGATGTTTTTTTTTCCTCCAGCCAGTCTAATATCTGTGAGATACTGTATATCTATGAGGCTAATCAATATTGCGAACATATCTCAAACCCATTTGAATAGAATGAACTTCAACTTCGCCATTGACTGACATGTATCTTGAAAGTTTTCTTGGCCAAGACGAATGAAAGCTAATTAAAAATAAAAAACTGTATTCGAATTTCAGCCTTTCATCAGCAGCCTCAGCCTGTCATCAGCAGCAGACGTAGATGAGAAGCACGAAAAATATTTTGATATCAGTGGGAGCATCTTTAATAACATTCAAGAAATATGATTATGCTTCTGCCTTGATTGAGAGCTTCATTCTTCCTCCGACTTCGTTTCAACTACGAACTTTTAGGTTTCTGAAACATCCACTTACTTCAACCACCTCTCAACAGCATCGTGGAAGTGTCTTTTTTTGATTTTGATCCCGTGTTTTTGTGCCATTTCTGAATACGATCATCAGCACAACAACCAACGCAAGCGGGCTATTTTTCGCACGAGGTAATGGCGAAATATTGATCGATTCATCAATGCCCATACACCCGACCAGAATCCGTATTTCTTGGAATTCTTCCCGAGAATAAAATAGATATACTGCATTGACAGCGCAAAACGCTGAGAAGCAAGCGACGGCTTTTTCTAAATTTGGATGGAAAATGTCATCAGCTTCAAAATTGGGAGCGACAGCTTTCCTATTCACAAGTTCGGTCGATGTGTGGATTGTGATCCACATTCTACGGAACTCTGGTTTGAACCGAGTAGCCTGAAGAGCCGTCTTTAAACCTCTTCAATTTGTACCATTAAAAAAAATTATAAATAACGCATTATAAAGTAATACTGTAGTTTTGAACCTGGACCATCCATCGAATTTTCTTCAAGTCGCGAGGATGAAAACACGAAAACGTAGGCATTTCTGGGTCTTCTGTTGATTTTAAGTAAACTCAACAGCAGCCTTTTTCTGTTAATACGACTTCGAAGCGAATAACCAAGCGTAAAAAGAAGTATAACACGATGGCGACTTGGAATCTTCTGAGGCGTCAGTAGTAGTAGTAACATTCGATCGTGTAATTAGAACAAATATGCTCTGAAATCTTCAAGAAAGGAGCAAAAGAACAAGACCTTGCGAATGCTCACTTGAATATTACATTATCACGATCCAGGCAGGTAGAACCCATACAAAGGACATAGATCCTTGTGATCGGAGTATGTGCCTTAATAATTCACAGAAATAGTGTCCATTTCTCTTCTTCCGGCTAAGATATTTCTTCTTCCGGGATCAACTTCTACACGGCAACGAGTTCTCTTGAACTATAAGAATTGAACATTGCGGCTTCAGCCAGTCGATTTATCAAACTAACGAATTCAACAATTCGCTTCGGACGATGGAATTATTGATCTAGTGATCGCATCTTCAGCATAGGGTGCTGCTGATCCCGTTTATGTAATAGAATATTCTGAAGCTGCTGCTTCAATAGCTGCCAAGCAAGAAGCTCTATACAGCATGAACCTGAATTGACATACGAAAACCACATGTGAGTCGGGTTCCCGGACAGTTTTAAATGAACAAGGACAAACTGAACTTGAAATGCTTGTTTGCGTACAGCATGTTCCATTCGGATCACGTACTTTTTAGTTTCCTTGTGTGCTCCTTTTACCAACGGGCACTTGCTTCTTAAATGTAGGGTTTCGCTTTTTTTCTGTTTCGGAACAGACAAGATGGGACAAAGAGGAGGATGCTTCAAGAGAAACACGCATTTCAGCAAAATTATCAAATTTTGAATGAAATTTCACGTGCCTGCGGATTTCAGTGGAAAAAAGTACCGCACTTGGGCAAAATACAAATTTAGGTGAATATTATAGGCTCCTTTAATTTACGTAGCTACCTAAATACTGCATACAATTATCAAAATTCGGACTGAAACTAGAGTACATTTCACGAACTATGGAGTATGGACAGATGTTGGCAAACCTTAAATTGGATTTCATTAGGAAAAATGCAATTTTTTGCTGCACACAATTCAAGTCGAATTTTTAAAATACGAACGCAGTATTACTTTTTTTTTTTGTTAGACTCTTATACGACAGGGCTTTTCACCCTGCGGTAGAAGAAATTGCCTAAGTGTTTTATATGAGACCACTTCAAATTAATTTAAACTGAAAGACTTTGGGGTAAGTATATTATCAAAAGCCAACATGTACAAATTTATCCTCGCGACGTTTTTGTGTATTCTATTTATTCCGAATGAGAAAACCAAGGAAATCGCTCATGAGCCGATTCCCTTATTCTGATGTTGCAAGAAATGCCTCTTGCCCGCAAATTTAATTGTCTCTCGTGATCACCTCGGGGCAACCGGGGGAATTCATAAATAAAATAAGAACTGCATGAAATTATATTGCTGGATACTGTCCTACTCTGGCGAGTGTAGGCGTATATACTACATATTGGCAAGACCTTTTTCTTCGGAGTGTATCCTTTACTCATGTATCATGTGCATATATGAGCATAGGTTAGTCTGAACTTAGTACATGACACACGTCTGTTCTGTCATTAACGGCGTACTGAAGGCGAACGCCTCGTTTGTTGGCTGAATGTCGCCCTCAATAAGTGCTTCAATTTATCCCTGAAGGCATGATAACATTATTCTCAGACCAGGAGACTGTTTCATCACTTTTCGCAGTTCTCTCGTTGATGAACTTTCCAAGATTCCATCAGTTCTGCTGCATCGAAATTATCAACAATGTCAATAATATGCATTCCAGAACGCAAAACTTTTGGGCTAATGACAGAATTTGTGACGGAATAATTTGGTACCTTAATGTACTGCTGTATCTGCACACTGGCTGCTGTTAGATGGCAGCCATATTAATTGAATACCAGAGATTTTAATCAGTACCCTTCAAGGGTTTTAACAAATCAGGTGTGCAGAAGAACAGACTAAAAACATTTGTGTTGCTTTTGTGTGTGTGATTGTGAAGGTTATCCTTTTTTTATCCAATTATGATTTGTATATGTGAAAAAGTCTGTTTTTTGTGTTTGAATCAGTGTTGTGGTTAATTTGAAATATAATTATATCGTTCTTTTGGGATTTCATAAGGAAATCCCCAGCTGCACCCAACACCTGATTCTGTGTTTCATTTTCAAATTCCGCCTTTCGTGTAGATCTAATCCACAGAATTTATCTTGTTATTCCCAACAGTAGGAATACAGTACTGTACATGCAATCAAATCTTCATTACTTACATAAATGTTACTCTTCCTATGCTGTTACTCTAACCAGCTTAAAGAAGCCTCACATAGGAAATGAGTACATAGTACACGTATATACTCGTATCCAATCAGACTTGAATCATGTACTGTGTGCAGACAAGACAGTAATTGCCGCATGACTTCCGCTTGCGGAGCAAACAATGCTGAATGTCGCCCTCAATAAGTGCTTCAATTTATCCCTGAAGGCATGATAACATTATTCTCAGACAAGGAGACTGTTTCATCCCTTTTCGCAGTTCTCTCGTTGATGAACTTTCCAAGATTCCATCAGTTCTGCTGTATCGAAATTATCAACAATCAAAGCAATAATATGCATTCCAGAACGCAAAACTTTTGGACTAATGACAGAATTTGTGACGGAATAATTTGGTACCTTAATGTACTGCTGTATATGCACACTGGTTGCTGTTAGATGGCAGCCATATACAGCAGCCATATGAATTGAATACCAGAGAT